CCACTAGACCTGGCACAGCTACCTGACTGGACCTGGCTACCTGGTGGGACGGGGGAACCGGACGGGTGTCGGTGTGGAGGGTGTACAGACCAGAGCCCGACTCCTGACGAAAAGTGGCCAGAGGGGCGTACGTGTCACCGTCCACACAGACTGCAGTGTCACCAGAAGGCTCAAACCAGACCCCGACGTGCTGTCTCGCCAGAGGAGCCACACCAACCAGGTTCCTAGAGAAAGTAGGAACGTGGAGGCCGGTCAGAGAACCGGAAGGGGCAGCTGGGCACGGGAGGGTAGTGGCGTGAGTCGCAATGACCGGTCCCGAAGAGGGATCAGCCAGTGCTACAGGAACCGGCGCCGAGAGTGGAGTAAGAGTCGTGCTGTCGCGGAAGAAGCACTGCGTCGCTCCGGAGTCCAGTGTGAAGGAGAGCGACGCGTCCGCCGAGGGAGCACCTGTACTAGTAGCTAGACAGGATCCTACACCAGCACCTACTCTAGCAACAGGCAAAGATCCTACGCTAGGTACAGGCAAGTAAACAGATCCAGCAGCACTATAGTCAACATCAGCATACATCGCATAAGACCTAGCATCATCCATAGACATATCAAACACCGCAACACCACGAGCAAGGAGTGGTCCCCAGCGCGGTGGCGGGGGAGCGGAGGGGCCGTGGTGCAGGACGTACAGGTCGTCGAGACGGCTGAAGCAGCGTGCAGCAGAGTGGTCAGGGCGGCCGCAGTACGTGCCCCTGCGCGGACCCGTCAGGATCCAGTACTCCGGCCGAGCGGGGTCCCCGACTAGAAGGGGCACCACTGCGCCCAGTGCTCGGGGGGCCCGTAGGTCTCCACTGCTGCGGGGGGCCCCACTGCTGCGAAGGACCCCACTGCTGCTGAGTGCCCCACTGCTGCTGAGTGCCCCACTGCTGGGGCTGCTGCTGAGGCGGACGCTGCTGCTGGCCCTGGCGCTGCTGCTGCTGTCCCTGCCGCTGCTGCTGTCCAGGCGGTGGCAGCTGCTGCTGCGGAAACCCCTCACCACCGTCTAGAGGAGAGCCGTCAGGTCCCGAGTCACCCCCGCCGCCACCCCCGCCACTAGTACTACCGCCACCGCCGCCACCCGCAACACCCCCAGAACCCCCGCCGCCCTTCCCTCCCTTCTTGCCGGACTTGCCACGTTTCTGTCCGCCAGAGACAGAAACGGCCGCCGTCTCCTCAGAGGCAGAAGACGCGGCAGTGGCAAGCGAGGCAGTGAAGGTGGGAAGCTGTGGTACCGCACACCCCTCAAAGAGACGAGGAGGAGGCGCGGAAGAGGCGGAGGCAACAGCGAGGAGGTTACTCTCGATCTTCGAGAGAGCGGTCTCAAGAAGATCGATAGTAAGCTCAGTGGGGTGCTTCAGGAGAAGCGCGTCGCGGGCTGTGACGAGACGGTCAGGGAGGCGAGTGACTAACCAGTGAATAGTGAGCCACATGGGGGGGGGTGCAAGGGCAAGCTGTTCCTCAGTGCAAGCGGCCTTGAAGCGAGCTTCAAGGGAGCGCAGGTGGGTAGCGAGGTCAGCGACAGTCTCAAAGGAGGCGAGGTCAGGGTAGATAAAGGGGACGAGAAGGCGGCTGAGGGAGGCAGAGGAGGGAGTGGAGTAGCGAGCAACAATAGCAGTGTAAAGGGCTGCAGCAGACTCGACCTGAGTGAAGTGGACGGCCTCAGTCGGCGGGAGAAGGTCGGTCAGGGCGAGGCAGGCAGCAGCGTCACGAGACTCCCACACGTCACGAGCGAGGAACCGGCGCTGGTACTCAGCCTCCTGCTCGGAAGTAGGCGGTGGGGTAGTGGGCAGCGGTGTAGGCTGCGGCGGGGCGGGCAGAGCACCGGACGCATGCGCAAACAGGTGCACGCCATCCTGGCGCTGGCTCCTAAGGTGGCGCTGGGCCTGCGTCAGCCAGGTACTAAAGTCGATCGCGCGCCCCTCAGGGTCGAAACGGAGCACGCGAGACGTCGCCATGAGGGGCGAGAACAAGTGATAGCGGCCGCCAGCCGCGAGAGGAGGAGGAGAGGGAGGTGAGTGCGAGGCGGGTGCGCGCAGGCGGGGCGCGTTCTGGCTGGGCGCGGGGCGGCGGGGCGCGCGCTGGCGGGGCGCGCTGGCTGGCGTGGCGCGCGGGCGCGGCGCGCTGGCGGGCGGCTAGGCAGGGCGCGCGCTGGCGGGCGCGCTAGCGGGCGCGCTGGCGTGCGTGCTGGCGGGCGCGCTGGCGGGCTCGCTGGCGGGCGCGCTGGCGAGCTCGCTGGCGGGCGCGCTGGCAGGCGAGCTGGCGGGCTCGCTGGCGTGCCCGCTGGCGGGCGCGCTGGCGGGCTGGCGTGCAAGCGGGCTGGCGCGCAGGCTGGCCGGCGCGCTGGCGCGCTGGTTGGCTGGCGGGCTAGCGCGCTGGTTGGCAGGCGCGCTGGCTGGCTGGCGCGCTGGCTGGCTGGCGCGCTGGCTGGCTGGCGTGCGCGCTGGCTAAGGGCGGGGAGGGGAGGGGCGCGCCGGCTGGGGCGTGGGGTAGGGCGCTGGCGGGCTGGCGGGGCGCAGTGGTAACCCTAATGGTAGGGACGGGCGGGCCTAGGGCTAGGAGCGCTAACCTACTGCTGATACCATGTCTGAATGAGAACTACAGCGGAATGTGTTGCATTGACAGAATTGGGGTACATAACCTAACCCTAACTAGTTGTACCCCATATAGCCCAACCCACTACAGGCTATAATATTTGACAGTAAGGCCGACAAACAGAACTAGCTGTGGGGGAATGAGAAAGACTCTGCACTTGAGCGTTTGGATATGTGGCCAAACGGGGTAACTGTGCCGGACGATACATCATTGGGGATGAACCATTGGCCTGAAAGGTAGCAGCACGAGGCGGGGCAGTTTTCAAGGTGGTGGCCGTTGCACTGGTGGTGCTGCTGGTGGTGCTGACGGTGGGCATGATGGGCTTGTGGGTGGCATCAGGATGAGGGCAATGAGGGCAATGTGAGCAGTGGGGGCAGGCAGAGGAAGGACCGTTGACAGCAGCAGCCAGCAGTGATGCCTGAAGGGAAGCCACCATCGCTTTGAGCTCCTCTAATGACTCTCTTGAGTGAACCAGCTCCTCCTGCCATGCAGAGGGAGTTGCAAAAGGTGTAGGGTGAGAAGTGACAATGGAAGAGCAGACAAGAAAACACAAGGTTCAGGGATACACAACAGTGACACAAGAAGGGCAGCAGAAAAAGCGGCGGCGGCGGCGGCGGCAGCAGAAGCACAGCAACAGCAGAGAAGAAGCCAGCACACCTGGATCTGGTGCATGCCCGGCTTTTGCTTGGTGAGTGGCTTTGGTGTGGTGAAAAGGACCTCATTCTCCCCTAGCTGCTGCAGAAGCTGGTGAGAAAGTTCCTCCACAGCTAGCGCCGAACCAGTCATGCTTTCCTCTTGGTCTGGGCTGCCTGTTAGTGAGTACGGCAGCACCTGCTGACGCAGCGCAGAGTGGGAGAGAGCAAGTTGGGATCAGCTGGCACAATAGCGGTTGCGGAGTTATGGCGTGCGTTCCAAGCGTCTTTATGAAACAACCCCTCAAAAGGCCCGCCCAGCGCACCTGTGTGGAGTGGCGGCGCTGCAGGATCATGGCGAGCGAGATGTCATCAATGCTCTGCCCCTTCACCTGCAGCACCCTCTGTGGCGCCGCCACCGCCCCCGCCCCACCCGCCGCCATCGACTTGGCTCTTTCCACCTCCGCAGCCTTCCTCCCACAGATCCCTCGAATCACGGTCGTCTTGGCCCGGCGCTGCAGCGAGCGGTACCGCTGCATGCGGCGCTGCGCCTCGTCCGCGGCGAAGTCGCGTGCGCCGAGCTGGTGCAGGCGGTGCAGGATGGAGGAGTAGGAGGCGTAGCGCCCCGTGAGGCGGCAGAAGAGGTAGCGCACGATGGTGCCCACGTCCTCTGCTATGGACGTCGCCAGCTCCTGGGTCTCCTGGTGGTGGTGGGCGAGGGGGACGAGAGACGCGAAGGAATTGAAGGGGTTGATGAGGCTGAGGGGGACTGGTGGGACGAGGGGGAAAGGGACAAGACAGGGTTGAGAAGAGGGCTCAAATGAGAATGTGAGTACGAGTGAAGACTAGACATGGCAGGGTGAGAGTACGGTATTCCTTGATGGTCATGAAGGCACGACGGACCTTGATGGTCATGAAGGCGTCGACGATGATGGCGATGAGGAAGTTGAAGAGGATGAAGACGAGGAGGAGAATGAAGGCGATGAAGAAGAGCATGCCAGCCACCAGGTCCCACCCGTGCATGTGTGCAAAGAAGTAGGCCGTCGCATTCTCGTTCAGGATGATCAGGAAACACGCGAACAACGCCTCCGGCAGCGTTGCATACTGCACAGGTTGGTTTCACGTGGGATAAAAAGGATTCCAAAAAAAGGAAGAAAAAAAAAGAGAGGATCGTGCGCGGATCCCCTGAAGGCAAAAACGGGAGTGATGGTAGAATACTTGGAAGGAACGAGAAGTTTCCATGCCTCAATTCAATGGACCACCTGCTCCATCTTGCCACCGAAGACTAGGTAGCCGTAGAGAGCGAAGCAGAAGAAGACGACAAAGGCGAGCAGGAAGAAGTGCAGCAGCGATGGCATGGCGAGGGCGAGGGAGCGCGTGATGACGCCCAGATAGGGCTGGAAGTCCATCAGCTTGAGCAGGCGCACCATGAGGAAGAAGAGGCTGCGGGAGATGCAGCAGGAGACGTGGACGGGAGCAGGAGTAAGAGAAAAAAGTTCTAGGCTAAGAACTGGGGTTCAAGGCAGGACACTCGTACATTAACATATATGTATATATATATGTTAGTAGATATATATATTTGTATATATATGTTAGTATATATATATATGTATCAGACAAAACAAAAAACATGAATGCAGGCAAACAAATATTTTGAAAATAAAACAAAAAAGAAGGTATCAGTAGCCAGCCTTACAGAACCCAAAACAGCTTGACCCAGTAACTCAACAAGAGCAGCAAACTCACTTGACGCCCTGCAGGGCGAAGTAGAAGGAGCGCCAGTTGATGAGCGCCTGGAGGTCCTCATACTCGTGCATGGCCGCCTTGAACCCCTCTCCACTCCCTGCCACCTGCCAGTACCGGGGCACCTCCAGTAGCGACTCATACACATCGTATCTTGGGTCCATGTCATTAGTAGCCACAGCCCGCCAGAGCACGACCCAGGTGATGAGAGCGAGCCACTGCAGGAGCAGCGAGGCCATGTCGATCCAGTTCCAGCCGGAGCGCAAGTAGCTGAGAACAGAGCCCTCTCTCCTCACTCGCCCCCGCAGCTCCACCGCCTCCTCCACCCCGTTCCACAGCAGCGCCGCCACGTACACCGCTTGCAGCAGCAGCAGGAAGACCGAGGTGAGGGACTGTGAGTACATGTCGGTGGGCACGGAGAGCGAGGAGAAGGAGGTGACGAAGCCGCCACCCGTGTCGACGACGGCTGTGACACGTGTGAGGACAAACATGCTGCTCTCGCCTGGTGATACGGTGAGGAGACGGTGGGTGGAGAAAGATGATATCATAAAAAGGAGCTGGCATGAAATGCCTAGTTCAATGCCATGTGAAATGCCAGCGGGCATCATGGATGTGAAGTGTGACGGTGTGAAGCAGACGCAGCATCTGAGTCGGACCCATGTGAGCCTGATCATGCGTGAGTGATGACAGGCGCCTCCACTGACTTGAATCTCGTGCCGTGAACAGTTCACCCTGCATCAACAAGTGCTTCATGACCCAGTTCCCCATCGCCAGACAACTCAAGAGTCACTGCGCACCGTTGTGGATGATGAAGGAAACTTCCAGTTTGCGAGTGGCGTTGACGACGTAGAGCCCGTCCACCAGGTACTGCAGGCGGTTATTTTTCTAAACGCCTCAGAAAAAGGCTCACCGTTGTGGGTGATGAAGGAAACCTCCAGCTTGCGAGTGGCGTTGTCAATGAACAGCCCGTCCACCAGGTACTGCAGGCGGTTCTCCGCCCCGCGGTGGTCCAGGTTGATGTCAAACACCAGCGGGTAGCCCTCCCACCCCTCCTGCACAAGCGGGTGGGTGTGGGACAACGTGGGATAACTTTGAGGCATTATGGAGTGTTTGGGTCGAGTTGAATGCAGGCGGTTATCTGCCCCCCCCAATGGTCCAGATAGGGGCCAAACACCAGCTGGTAGCCCTCCAACCCCTCCTGCGCGGGTGGCATGGAGTGCGACACGATGTTCAGGTGAGCCAGAAGTTTTGGTGCCTTGTGGGTGGTGCGGGAAGGCGTGAGAGGATCAGCAGGCAGGCACTTGTGGAGTGCGGGGGAAACGTGCACTCATCCACACATGCATGTGCGCCCACATGCACACACGTAACAAACAAGAAATCTCAAGCAGCAGAGAATGGAGCACGAGCACCGAGCAACGGCGTATGGCGTGCTTGCTCCGGGAGCACTTGACCTGGCCAAGCAGGCTTACTACGGGGTACTCAAATCCATACGGCAGGCCTTGGGGATTCAGTACGGCATGACCACCACCACCATCGGCACCAGCGCTGGTACTGGCACCGGCACTGGCATTGGTGCTCTGGAGGAGGGTGGATGCAGCGGCTGCGGCGGCGGCTACCGGGTCATAGATGGCCGAGGTGGGCAGGAAGTGCGGGTTCACTCCAAAGGGCTCCCTGGACGTGCCGTTGCTGCACCACCCCGCCAGGTGCAGCAGCCTGCTAGGGAGGGGGAAAGGTGAGCGGGAAGAGGACGTAGGAGAGGGTTGGGGGGCGTTGTGAGATTTGAGAGAAGCTTGAACGGCACCAGAAACTGACGGAGGCACGGATGGTGGAATCACGGTTGGAATGGACAAAGCAACACGCGAGAGTAACAAGGTGACAGAGCAATCCCCATGGGCAGGCCATGCTTGCAGGAAAGCTCGCAATTGGAGATGGAGAAAGAAGACGAAGGGATGATGGAGAGGTGCTGGCTCAAACAAGGGCTTCTGCAAGCAGCTTAGAAGCATACTTGTCTGGGTTGCATGTCTTCACTCCCCAGCGCTCCTGGTAGAGGAATATGCCGATGAGTAGCCTGGGAGGGGAGTAGAGGGCATGCACAAGCATGGCGGGTTCCTGTATGCTCATCGTGTGTTGCTTCAGATATTCAAGAGTTATTCGCGGTACTTGGGGCACAAGTGCGGTCTTGGCAAACACTGCAGGGCCCACATGAGCGAAGAAAAATGGCAGACGGGGAAGTTTCAACCCTCTAATTGCTGTGCTCGCTGCTCGGCCACAGAGGACCGGGCGAGTGAGAGCATTTCCTAGACGCCTCAAAAAGAGGCCTGTACCTGTTGTGTTGCCCCACAAAGCGAGTGAGCGGAGCGTTTCTCTCGGCAGCAAAGGCGCGGTTGCTCTCCGTGTAGTTGGGTCCGTAGCGCTGCAGTGAGAAGGGGAAGTGCAAATCACGTCCCACCGCAGATGACATACAGCACGCTGCCAGCCGAGGAGAAGGGGTTTGGGGAGCGTGTGCGGGGTAGAGGGGGTGGGTGGGAGGGAGGGGCAAGACGTGGAAGGGGTTTGGAGGGAAGATTGATGGTGGGTTACAGTAGCACGGGAGTGAGGTGTGGAGGGCAGGAACAGTGGAAGAAGCCGACGGGGAAGAAGGGAGACGGTTTGGGAAAAAAAAAAAGGCACCAAGCCAAACGACACGCTGCCTACTGCAGTCGCCTTTCGAGTCTACTCAAAACCCACCCCAAACCCTTCCCCTCCCCCCCCCCCCCCCCCCCCCCCCTACCTCCATCGTGGCGGCGCGCGTGGCCGGGCGGGCAGGAGCAGAAGCACGGAGTCAATGCACCCGCAGTCGCCACCGTCAAAGGTGCACGAGGGCGTGTTGCAGGGCGGGTTGCACACCCCGTCCGCCAGCATGTGCATGGAGCAGCCTGGGAAGCACTGGACCGCCAGGTCTGACGGGCAGAAGGTGGGGGGAAGGAGGTGGGACGGAGTGGGATGGAGGAGTGGGAGGAGGTGGGCGTGTTGCAGGGCGGGTTGCGCACCCCGTCCGCAAGCATGTGCATGGAGCAGCCTGGGGAGCACTGCAACGCCGGGTCTGGCGAACAGGCAGAGGAGGAAAGGGAGTGGGAAGGATTGGGACTGGGAGTGGGTGGGATGGGATGAGAGGAGGTGGGAGTGGTTGGAGGGGGTGAAGGGAGGTGGGAGTGGATGGGAGGGGTTGAGAGAGAGGAGGTGGGAGGGGGTGGGCGTGTGCGACAGGCATGTTCGCGAGTAGAGAAAGTGTGGGACATAGAAAGAATGGAGTGCGAAAGTGCGGAAGAGAATGGGGTGCTAGTGACAGTTGAGAATCAAACAAATGCTTGCCTTGCTTGCAGGCACGCCTACCTGGGGCCTCGGGCGGCGGCACAACAACAGTGACCATGCCAAACATGGCGGGCGGCAGGAGAGCACCCGTGGTGGAGGCAGCAGTGGCAGCAGAGGAAGCAGAGGATGCCGCTTCGCCCGCGTCCTGCCCACCGCTCTCATAGTGGTAAGTGCCTGGGAGCGTGAAGACCTTGGTGTACGTGAAGGTGGCGTTTGTGGCCCCTGGGAGCTCTGGAAGAAGGGCGGACGGTGGGGAGGAAGTAGGGGGGGTGGGGTGGTGGGGTGAGCAGAGAAATAAAAAACAGAGGGTTTAAGTATCTCCTGAGATGTATGCACGGAGGAGCAGCGGGGCAGGCACGGGTGTTACAAGCTTGGATGGCAGAAGGAACACACAGAAGGCGGGAGGGGGGAAACAGCAACTGTACACAGCATGCAGGGGAGAGGGGGGAGGAAGGGTAGAAGAGAGAGAATTGACGTACACAGAATGCAGGGGAGGGGAGGGGAGAGGGCACAATGTGACTCAGGCAGCACGCAGCACTCACGCAGCACCCAGCAGCACTCACGCAGCACCCAGCAGCACTCACGCAGCACCCAGCAGCACTCACGCAGCACGCAGGGCACGGGGTCATCGTAGTCGTCGTCCTCCCCCATGGTCATGGGCGAGCAGGGGAAGAGGCGAGACACCGCCAGGCGGTGCCCTCCAAACCCCGGGAAGAAGGGCGTGGGCGCGTCGCCCATACCCGCGACTGGGGCGATTGGGGGAGAGGGGAGAGCAACGGGTGGAAAGGAGAGAAGGGGTGCTGCGTGTTGGGGCAACAGCGACCGCAATATGGATCGGCGAGGAGATGAGAGAGATAATCAGTGTGGTGGGGGAGAGAGCAGCGGCGGAGGGGAAGGGGGTCGCCTTGACTTATTTGACATCCCACACTTTTTCCCTCAATTCTCTGCCCTCCCTCCCCTCTTACCCTACCATCCTTGCTAATTCTTGGTAAGGAAAACGCAAATGCCTCACTTCTGAGGGAGTGCGGGAGGTCGGCATCCCACACCCAGGTGATCTTGTCGCCCACATGGATGGTCGTGTTGTGCTTCACTCCCGCCCGCCACTGCAGCCACGTGCCTCCTGCCCGTCCGGAGAGCAGAAGAGAGCAGAGAAACATAGTGGAGCACAGAGCAGCATGGTGGCAAGTTGACAGACAAGAGACAAAGGGAAGGAGAACATGAACCAACCAGCGACCAGGAATTGCATGCATCCCTGCCTCACGAAGCCAGGCTCTCACCTTGGGAACAGCCGGCAATGTCGGTGCTGACGATGGCGTCCTCGAAGCGGTGGAAGAAGGCGGAGAGGTCGGCAGATGCTTGGGGGGGCATGGTGGTAACGGACTGCAGGGCGGCGATCAGAATGTCTATGAAGCGCCGCAGCTGCTGCGATGACACCGCCTTGTCGTTGCTGCCACGGCGACGCAGGGGGGGGGTTGAGATGGAAGGAGAAGGATGAGGGATGGGGCATGACGCATGGCAGGGGAGGTTGGACAGGAGAGATATTAGGCATGAACACTCTATGCTATGGAAACAATGGGAAAGCAAATCTTCTGTGAAGACGAGTTTAGCAGCACTCACACGCCGCGGTGCACGTCTCGCAGATGGTCAAACAGCTCCTGTGCGCGCAGCAGCTGGTGCCCCGTCGAATTCGCAAACCGGCACAGCGGCTGGTCGAGCACAGGCCTGCCCAGCAGCGTGCAGAGGAAGGCGGTGAGGCGCAGGCGGTAGCGCACGGAGAGGCCGAGCATGTAGGGCCCATGGTGTAGATGGCCCGGGACACCGCCACCTGTAGCGCTCTCAGGCGCTGCCTCTCTGTGGACCCCAGCAGCTCCCACGCCCTTGGCGCCTCTGCCAGGTGTGGCAGCTCTGCATGCAGGGAGCGAAGGGGGGGGAAGGGGAGTGGGGAGGGGAGGGTGAGCATAAACCTCTATCGGAAGTGTGTGAGGCAGAGCGGAGGAGGAGCGAGGGGAGGAGGGGCAAGAAGGGATCCCTCTTCCAGGGAAAGGGAGGGAAAAGGTGCGGTGGGACAGAGGTGGCAGCACGCCCAAGGGGAAATAGGTATACTGTGATCATAATCAAATGATGAAACTCCCATGTTCTCAACTTCACCATCCTCACTCACGCATGTCAGCAGCCGGAGGGAGGACGGGTGGGGGAAAGAAGCTGGAATCCGCAATGGCAGCACTGGTGCCGTTGCCACTGACGTTGGTGCTGGCCACGGCTCCATTGCTTCTGCTGATGCTGCTCCAGCCCTGACGCGCCCCAACTGCATTCGCTCCCACAGCAGCTGCCTGTGCAGCACTCACAGCAGCTGCCTGTGCGGCATATACAGCAGGTGCAGCAGCCATTCCTGGCCCACGCGATGCTGGTGCAACTGTTTCCTGTGTTTGCCGACGATCCCTTGCTGCCAGAATAGGAGAGCAAGGGGCATTGGGAAGGGAAGCATGGCTGCATGGGGCCGAGCAGGACGGGGGTGGGCGAGGCCAGCGCAGACACACCACAAACGCATTTCACATCTCGTTGCGACATATAAGACTGCAAGGTTCCCCTTCCAAGGAGCACACTTATTACATGGATTTGACTGAACCAAAAGCAAACGAATACGAAAAAAAGTACCAGTGCATACCGTGGGAAGGTGAAACATACCAGTGCAGAGAGAATTGGGGAAGAGGGATGGTTTGACAGCAGTGATCTGCCGCAGAGGAAACGGAAGCGGAATGGGTTAATTCAGCAGCCATGCATACAGACACATTATGATGTGTCTAGACTCTACAAAGCAGTGGGTTTCCATGGTTGCCAACATTTGACAGTACTGTCATGGTATGGCAGAAACCTGAACTCGACTAAGTGGCGTATTCACCTGAAGGCACGACATGGTGGCGTATGGCATGATCGTAGCCGGCGCTGCTCGGCAGATCTTCACACAATCCACAAACGCGCCCGCCACCTCCCTTGCTGCCACCTCCCGCCCACACGCAGTGTTCAGACACATTGCCACGGACTCACAGGCCTGGAAGGAGCAAGGGGGCAGATGGGCACACCACGCACAACACAAGTGAGCAAGGGGGCAGTTGCATGCATGCACGCGCACGCACACACACACACGCACGCACACACGCACGCACATACACACATACACACACACGAACCTGTCAGCACAGCACACACAGCCGGCCAAATACCTGGCGGCACTGATCTCCTCCATCTTGAAGCAGCGTGGCATTCGAATCTCTCGCGGAGAAGCCCTCCCCTCCCATGCACCCGCCCCAGCTAGCCAGCGTAACACTGTTACTCGACCCCATCGTGACGTCCCCACTCAGATGCCCCATCCCCGGCTTCTGCGCCTGCAGCACGCCCTGCACGCCACCCAGCGGGGCAGTAATCAGGAGCGCCCAGTGGCCGTCGGGGATGTCGAGGGCAAGGGAGAACTGGGCGTGCAGCGCGGGGAAGGGCTGGGGGAGGGCGTGCCAGCACAGCGAGATGGGGCTCTGCATGCACAGGTTCCACGACGACAACGCCAGGGCTTCAGCTGATGAGAAGGACGTCGTGAAATGGATCGACACGGACGTCAGGTTGGGGAACGTGCCGCAGTCCGCCTGGCAGCCGAACCAACCAAACGCCGGGAACTCCAGTGGCTGGTCGCAGAGACCGTCCCCGCAGGGTGGGTCCTGCCAGAACTTCTCGATGATGCTGTTGTTCAGCCATGCGTAAAAGTCCGCCTTTCCTGCAAACCGATTGGACGAATCTGGTGCAAAGTTCTGCATGATACGCGGGAGAATGGGATAGGCAGATGTTGTGGTGAGCGAGCGAAGACCCTTGGGTTCTCGTGCACTAACGTGTGTGGGGAACGAGAGGGGTCGATGAGGTGGAAACGAGAGAGGTGGTGATTAGGTGTGGGGGGAGCTCAGGGGCTCACGGAGGGGATGAGGAGAGAGAGGTCGCTATGGGGTTTAGAAAGCTCACGGAGGGGATGAGGAGAGAGAGGTCGCTATGGGGTTTAGAAAGCTCACGGAGGGGATGAGGAGAGAGAGGTCGCTATGGGGTTTAGAAAGCTCACGGAGGGGATGAGGGGAGAGAGGTCGCTATGGGGTTTAGAAAGCTCACGGAGGGGATGAGGAGAGAGAGGTCGCTATGGGATTTAGAAAGCTCACGGAGGGGATGAGGACGGAGTGGGCGGCGGTGACTTGGTAGGTGCGGGAGGAGTCGGCCTGCAGATACACCATTGCCACGAACAGCGCCATCAGCAGCACAAACCCGCCCAGCGCGCGGTAGTGCTGCACCTGCGCGCGCAGCAGGCTGACTCGATTGAACACCTCTGGACATCCCACGGAAGCAACGGACACGGTGAACAAAATCATTCAGGGCGCGCACGGCGCGCACACCAGAGGGAGGAGGAGGAAGGAGGATGTTGTTGAATAACGGGCACTAGGCACCTCGTGAACCGTTCGAGCAATACTGCAAACACACAATCTGAACGCACGTCACACTCGGGATAGGTGGTGTAACCAGCACGCACCTTGCACGACCTCCTTATCGATCTCCTCCAGCTCGTTCGCTAGGATCACATCCTCATCGTCGCCATCCTCCCGTATTGAATCCATCTGCGGCAACAAGCGCGCCCCAGGCTCGACCTCCTCACCGCCTCTCCCAGCGCCGTACGCCTTATCCTCGCACCCCCTCTCCTTCCCATCGATGTCCTCACCGCCCTCGGACCCATCTCCTTCATTCCTATTGGTTTCTCTCGATTCGCCCCAGAGCCAACCTTTTCTCAGACACTCCAAGGTGGAGTCAAGGCCATTACAGGAGTCACCGCTTTTTTTTCGCCAAAATGCTGCCCCATGGCACTCCTGCGTCTTGCCGTTCCTATTATCTCGGCGTACCTCCTCGCCGATCCCTCCACCATCTCGCACACGTCCCTCTCCCCCGCTGCTATTCTCGATCTGATTATTGCCGTCGCCTTTCCGCTGAAGTCCGCCTGTTTGTCTCGAAGCGTCTGCTTCCCTCTGCTCTGCCAGGTGGTTTTCCGTGTAGCTCCCGAACCCACGTCTGTTTGCTTCTTCTTCCGCATCCGTTTCCTCCCTACCGTGAACGTGCGACGAGTTGGATACGGCATGAGGATAAAGCGGTGATTGGCCGAGAGGACTTCGCGACAACACTTTCGCGTCGTTTGCGTCTGGAGAAGCGCTGGCGACAAGGTGAGGGCAGGAGGTGGGAAGCAAAAGTATAAAGGAGAAAAACAAAGAGAGCATGGCATACATTTCTGAGAACGCTGAAAAACGTCAACAGACAGAACGCCTAGTCTTGATTGACATTCTGCGAATGACTTCAATGTCAATGCAGGCGGAAACCATAACCTTCCCGGTTTCGCAAAAACGAAGTCCGTAAAAACTCCAGCGTCGAGCCGACATCTGAGGCTATTTGACAAGCCTGTGTGAGCCAAGTTAAATTTATCTACAGAACTAACCCGGAACTATCGGCGAAGGACGAGGAGCGAGCCCACATCTGACGGTTCGCTCGCTCATACGCGCCGAACTTGTCCTCCAGCAGACTGCGCGAGCGAGTCAGCGATGCCTGCTCCTCCGCTTCTTTCTTCCGCATCCGCGCAATGACTACCGCTTCCGCCATCGATGGAAACGGATGGGAGAGACTGTATTTGCGGAAAACAGACGTTCAAGAGAAGTCGTAACAGTAGCTCGCGATGATAGGAATCCTAAGCGAAGCCGCGCAATGCGCGAACACGGCTCGGCGATCCCTTTCAGAGTGGCTGGATCTGGTATACATCGGAACAGCTGAAAGTTTCGCGAGACTAGATGACTGACTAGTAAGCGCTTCCGACCAACAATGGTTCTGCTGGGGTTCTCGACTGGAAAGAATGCAACATGTGAAAACCCTTGCCAACGATAGAGCTACGGAACAAGAGTTGGGAAACATGGCTGTTCTGTTCATGCTCCTAACTGTCATGCCTGACAACCATAGCATGGCTGACATGGTGGCTGCGTTGCTTGTCAGTGAGTGCTGTTCACCTGCAAGCTACAGAAATTCAATGCGAGGAGTGAAATGGGGGAGGAGGGAACAGAAACTGAGGGCGCGTGTCTTTTGGTGTAGATTGTCAAAGTTCGAGCCCGGTACCGCTTTGTACCGTGGTGACACGTCTCTCAACTGCATCCTACCGTCTACAACCTTTCTAGAAGTTCGAACTTTGGCAAAGTTCAACCTCTAGGATCAGTTTCTTGCTCTGCTGATGCCTTCCCTTCCCTAGCCGCCTCAAACCAGATAATCCCCAGGACGGAACAGTTCTCTCCACAGTCGTTAGGGCGCGTGTGATTTTTGGAAAACTGTGAAAGTTCGAACTCAAACCGCTTTACACCGTGCGAAAACACTCTCAACTGTATCTTAAAAAGTCCAACTTTGGACAATCTGACGCTTCCTCTGTGCGACGTCGGGAGTCGCACGAGGTGAGCGAATGGAAAAGGGCAATCGCTTGCGGATCCTTCTCTTGCGTGCGATGGTTGCGATGTGATGCGAAGGATAGGCGTCCCTAATTGATATTGTCGGCGCACAATGATAGCGTCCAACTGTTCTCCACGGCCAGGCAATGCTGTCGTGGAAGACACCCGACGAAGCGTTCGCTTGACGACAAGCAACTGTTTGCATAAAAACTGTTATCATAAACAGAAATTATGAAAACGCATTGCTAGCTTAGCTTTTGTTAGTTCAACCATCCAGGTAGAGGCGACAAGGATGTCATATACTTTCTCAAGCATCGTGACAAATGCATCCTACAAGTCAGAACAAACTCAATACGGTCGATAGCCTGCATACCCTCCTGCAGGCCCAAAGTCTCGCCTCACCGGCCCTACCCCACCTCCACCAGCACCACCAGGACCCCCACCACCACCCATGCCAGGACCAGCAGCAGCAGCAGCTCCAGGACTTGGAGCAAGCACACCAGGACCACCGCCTTGCCCACCCATCCCCCCAGGCCCACCCATTGCTCCCGGCCCAGGCATCCCCCCTGGGACACCCATCCCGCCGGGCCCACCCATGTTCCCAGGCCCGCCCATTCCCCCGGGCCCAGCCAAGCCAGGGTTAACGGGTGGCGGGAAGCGGATGATGGGTCGCTGCGGGTCGAAACGGCCGTCCACAGCGGGCTGGCCGGGCGGCGGCATACGCTGCTGCTGGGGGAACCCTCCCTGCTGCTGTTGCTGTTGCTGTTGCTGCTGCTGCTGAGGATACTGCTGCTGCTGCTGGGGCGGTGGTTGGTGCTGCTGTTGCAAGTACTGCTGCTGAGACGGGTAGAACTGGGGCTGCTGCTGCTGCTGCTGCTGCTACTGCTGCTGTTGCTGCGGCGGCTGCTGCTGCTGCTGTTGAAGGAACTGTGGCTGGTACTGCTGGGCCTGGGGCTGGGCCTGCGTCTGCGACTGCGGGTTCAGGTTGTAGGCAGCAACGGGATACTGCCCTGCCACGCCTCCCATCCCTGGACCAGCACCAACTGCTGCATTAGCAGCAGCAGCAGCCGCAGCAGCGGCGCCGGCACCAGCAGCAGCGGCAGCAGGAGCAGGAGAAGCAGCGGCACTGCTAGGGGCAGCAGCAGTGGAGAGGGGAGCGGGGCTGGCTTGGACTGGTTTGGGCTGGGTGGCAGCAGCAGGGGCGGTGTATCGCTCCACTCTCAACCGCCGGTTGCCCAGTTGATGCTCGTTCAGCGCTGACGTGGCAATGTCCGCTGACGTGGGCGAGTCCAAGTGGACGTAGCCTGGTAGGGAGACAGTGAAGACAAGGTGACACGGCAGAGCGAATGGTTAGCTAAGCAGATAGACCGTTGATGTGCTTCTCTAATGCACCCATCTCCATTCCATAGGAACACCCGAAGCTTGCAGAGACAAAGGTCTTTCCCACAAGACTCCCTGACTCCAATTAATTAGGATCGCCCCCCCTGCGTCAACCCGTTTCCCCTGCTACTTCGCCCAGATGCACTGCGTCAACCCGTTTCCCCTGCTACTTCGCCCAGATGCAGCGCCACTCACCATAGCCCAGCCCCCGGTTGCCATCGCGGGCCACCTGCACAGCCACCACGGTGCCGTACGTGCGGAACAGCTCCACCAGCTGGCGCTCTGTGTAGTCCTCCGGTAGGCCGTACACCGCCAGGGGCGTCACTGCCACAGGGGACGGGTGCGGGGGAGATCGCAGCGAGGGGCGCAGGGGAAGGGGCGCAGGAGGGGGGTGACTTTTGAGTCGACTCTAGAGCTCCACCAGCTGCCGCTCACTGTAGTCCCCCGGTAGCCCGTACACCGCCAAGGGCGTCACTGCCACGCACACCGGGGAAGGGGAGGGACAGGCGGGAGCGACGCAGGGGAAAGGGAGGGCAAGCACGCAAGGTTGACTTTTGAGTCGACTCAACAAAGGAGGGGAGCAACGGAGAGATGTGAACGGAAAGCATGGAATGGCACAAACAGCAAACAGCAATCAGCAAGCAGTAATCAACAAACAGCAATCAACAAACAGCAAACAGCAAACAGCGAACAGCAAACACCCTGCATGGCCTGCACGGCGTGCCAGGGGGTTCACGGTAAATGCACGCACAAACAGAGGGGAGGGGAGACAAGAAGGGGGCAAAAAAGGACGAGCGGACGAATGTCACAGCCACAGCTTCTCTCTGGCGCCCACAGCAGACCTCTTTGCTTCACAGCCTCAACTCACCTCCACTGCTCTCCTGCTGCTGTTGCTGCTGCTGCTGCTGCTTGTCCACACCATCCTGCTGCTTCTCCCCTGCCGAATCAGCACCTCCTGCAGCGCTCCCATTGGCAGCACTGGCACCACCAGCAGCACCACCAGCAGCGGTGGCAGCAGCGGCTGCTTTCTCTGCTTCAGCCTTCTTGGCCTCGGCCTGGGCGAGCTCAGGGGGTTTCTCCCACACAGACGTGTTGGACGCCGCGTGGTAGTAGAACGGCCGCCCATCCGGTGCTGCATGCTCCGTCCACCCACACTCCGCCACTGGGTCCTCCCCACCAGGACCCGCATCAGCCGCCGGTACCCCATCAGCAGCTGCACCACCAGCAGCAGCAGCAGTGCTAGCATCAGTGGCAGAACCGCCGGTAGCTGCTGCACCTGGTGCTGTTGATGCTGCTCCTGCTGCGGCCCCAGCGGCCCCGTCTGCTCCCTGCTGCCCTGCTGCCGCCTTTGCAGGCCCGCCCACAACAATGCCATTCTGCTGCCCTGCTTGTCCAAGCGGCTGCATCCCAAGCTGCTGCCCCACATGCTGCTGCTGCACTCCCTGCTGCTGCTGCAGCGCTGCCTGCTGCGCCCATGGGGGCTGCTGCGCCGCTGCAACCCCCATAAACGGCTGCTGCCCACCATACATTGCTGCGCAAGCAACAGGTGTTGGTGTTCGTAGGAAGGAAGGTTAGCAACGTAAAGAAAATCTTTTGGCACTGAGAGGATGGTGAAGCGTTGATATGAGGAGAGGGAAGCAAAACAGCAGGAGCTAGTGCAGGGCGGCCGGCAGCAGAGGTGCAATCGCATGCAGCCAAGGTGCAATCGCATGCAGCCAAGGTGCAATCGCATGCAGCCAAGGTGCAATCGCATGCAGCCAAGGTGCCGTGGGAGCACATGGCACAGCAAACCAAGCACTTAGCATTGCGCTGTGTCCAGTGAGTCGGCTAGATAGAACATGCTTGTTTCAAACCAAAACAACGATGCGTCCATTCTTGTGAAAGGCAAGAACATACAAAAGAAACACTCACCATGCTGTTGCTGCTGCTGCTGCTGCTGCTCCCACCAAACCCCTGAGCCTGTCCACCTCCCGTGCGGTGGCCTCGAGGGTCCTCTCCGCCTTGTCGCGCTGCTCTGCTGCCTCCATGCCCGCCCGCCTCTCCCGCTCCACCGCCTCCCTGCTCACCCACCCACCACCACCACCAGCAGAAGCACCAACAGCACCAACAGTCGTTGTCACAGCAGCACACGCAACGGAAGGGTGGGAGGGGGCGCATGGGAATGGGGGGCGTGTTGTTGATCAAAGGAGAAACACATGTGCATGCATGTTCCTCAAGCCAGGCTTGGCAGTTGACGCCCAAACCTCGCTCTACTCTGTCCGTTGCGATCCTGCACCCACCCATGCACGCACTCGGGACACGGACCCTCGCACTTAGAAAGTAAGGAACCACCTGCTTTCCCGTCCTCTCCCCGCATGACCCCTGACCTTCTCCGTCCCCCATCCACCGCATTCCGCTTCCCCCACGAATCCTGAAGAACGCATTATAGTCTGGAAAACCCTCAACCACCGTGGTTGACCCTGCTGCACCCCCGCTTCCACCCCCTCTCCCCTCTCCCCACCTCTCCCCCCATTCCGCCTGCATCCCATATCCCCCTTCCCCATCACCCCCACCTCCCCTTCCCTCTCTCCCCCCCACGCGCACCTGGCCTGCATCAGCTCCTGCCGCGTGCCCTCCAGGTCGCTCCGCATGCGCTGCATCCCGCTCTCGCCCTCTTTCCCCCTCTCCCTCCCCTCCCCCCCAACACCGCCCCCCAACCCCGCACCTGGCCTGCATCAGTTCCCGCCGCATGCCCTCCAGGTCGCTCCGCATGCGCTGCATCCCGCTCTCGCCCTCTTTCCCCCTCTCCCTCCCCTCCCCCCCAACACCGCCCCCCAACCCCGCACCTGGCCTGCATCAGTTCCCGCCGCATGCCCTCCAGGTCGCTCCGCATGCGCTGCATCCCGCTCTCGCCCTCTTTCCCCCTCTCCCTCCCCTCCCCCCCAACACCGCCCCCCAACCCCGCACCTGGCCTGCATCAGTTCCCGCCGCATGCCCTCCAGGTCGCTCCGCATGCGCTGCATCCCGCTCTCACCCTCTTTCCCCCTCTCCCTCCCCTCCCCCCCAACACCGCCCCCAACCCCGCACCTGGCCTGCATCAGTTCCTGCCGCATGCCCTCCAGGTCGCTCCGCATGCGCTGCATGTCGCTCCCCATCGCGCTCATCTGCCGCTGCATCTCCGCGCGCCCCGCCTCCGCCTCCCCCCCGCGCGCCTGCAGCGCCTGCAGCTCCATACGCGCACGATGCAACTCCCCGCGTAGAGGCTCTGCGCGGAACAGCGCGGTGTAGAAAAAGGGACGAAGAAGTCTCTTAAGCAAGGCTAGGTTTTGGCGGCGAAAAAACCGAGGGGAAAGGTTCAGTTCAGGGCAACAAAATAATAAGCAGGATAAATCATACAAGTTGAAGACTTAAACCCCGAGACGCGCATCGAAATGTCCTTAATCCCTCATGTCCACTCACCGACGGCTCTTAAGTCTGCCTCGAGCTTTGCCTTATGCTCCATGATTCCCCGCACCGCCTGATCCTTCTCCATCTGCACCGCCGCCAGCGTCGCTTTCGTCCGTTGGATCTCGCCCTGCGCCGCCGCCAGCTCCTGCCGAAGCGCCACGTGCGTCGCCGCCAGCCGTTGATTCTCCGTCAGAAGCTGCTGAATCTCCCCGTGTTGCGCCGCCAGTTTCGCCTCTATGCTCCCCGCGCCCACGGGGAGAAGCATCGTTGGGGGAGGCGGAGCGGGATGGCGGATAATCACCTGTCCCGGAGGCCCGCCCGGGATAAGCGCAGGCCCAGGGGGAAGTGGCGGGCGGATGAGATGCGGCGCGGGGGCTGGCGGGGTTCCCCTTCCCCCGACGACAGCCATGGGCCTTCCTCGACCCGCCATGAAACGATAATCGCGGAGTTATGAAATCTAAAGTACCTACGGACAATGCGCGAACTCTCGTCAATCTAGGAGGACTAAACGCTGCGGACACCCATGTGTTTGATGGAGCGAACGCTACGTGAAAATAGGTGTCTAATTGCTCCCCCTAAGATCCACAGAAATGATCTTGAGAACGAAAATGGGCATGGAAAGGAAACCTAGCCTGTTCAAAATTGAACCGTTGCAGGCGGCGGAGGGAGGGACATGCTATGGGATCTATTTGTAAGAAACATCCACTAAAAGCAGGATGACGGCTGTAACAGAACAAATTATTCCGGATCAAGAATGCAGCTGTATATATTTCATATTGTATTAATCCGGTGCCAAGGCCCAATATAGTCCAACAAGATTGAAGACTCACTGCATGTCATCGACCTAGATCATATGTTTAGTTCATATATATATTTTTATCCATGTATTTTTCATCCAAATCCTCGGTCTCTTCGTCGCTAGTCTCCTCAACTGTGATGGAGTACCATTTCTTCGACTTGTTCGGCACTGCAGCCTTGACCGGGTAATCTTTCTTCGCTTTCTCCCTCTTGTCAACTGCCCGCTCCGCCTCTTCTCCACTTGAACCACTGGTGACCACGGAACTTCCCTTGCCCTCCAACTCTTCCTCTGACTGCTTGTCTAAGGCAGCTGCTTTTGCCTGTCGTGGCTTTCGAGGCCGTTTGAATTGTGGAACCAGACCTAGCATCCGCGCCACCTCGTGCAATCCCCCCCACTTCTCAAAAGTCCTTGCCAAGTCTCCCCTCCCTGGGAGCACAACCATACATTTGAAGAAGAGGTGCTTAATAAGCCTGGCGAAACAAATGAAGGCTCAATAATGACACAGGCGCATCATGTGCTACACGTTGAGTGGCCAGAAATACTGACCGTTCTTCTGTAGAAGCATGCGTGATGGCATCTTGTTGTGCGGCAGGCTATGATCCATCTGAAACTGAAGGACCTGTCGAGAAAAAGAAAGAGAGAGAGAGAGAGAGAGAGAGAGAGAGAGAGAGAGAGAGAGAGAGAGAGAGAGAGAGAGAGAGAGAGAGAGAAAGGAAATTTAGTGTGAACCCAATGCACAAACCTCAATCCTCCCCACAGTTGCCGAACCTGTCGCCCGCATTCTCACCTCTTGTTTCAGATTCGCGAGGTCATCCCAGTACCCTCTCGGCTTCCTTGCCACTTGCATGTTGAGTTTTAGCGCCACTGCATGCACACCCCCTGCGAACTGAATCTCCTTCTCAATATCCGATCTCCGGGCAGCCCGCAAAATTCCCCGTGTCGGCATTATGCCTGGCTCCAGCCCCTGCTCCTCACAGAACCTTTCCAGCTTCTCTTTTAACCTGCCCAAATCAACAGCTTTAACCTTCACTCCCTTCTCCCTCTTCTTCCTCCCACCCCCCTCCCCATCCCCTCCCTCCTCTCTCTGCCACTCACCCACACTCTCCAGACCCGTCAATCCCGAGCTCTCCCCCCTTATCTCCCTGCCACTGTCCCACAGCCCCCCGCTGAGCTCGTCCGCCCACAGCAGGTCTAGTGGCTGCTGCACGGAAGCCAGCCCCACAGCATAGGGTAGCCCAGCCTGCTGCTGCTCCGCAAACGCAAGCCCTGACAGGTCTGGCTCGTGGCTGCGAAGCTGGCCCTGCATTTTGGCTTCCAGTGCCCTCTCACGCTCATGCTCACGGTCCGACCCTGCCCTCCAGTTCTCCGTGTCCCCCCATTCCTCTCTCCCCTTCAACTCCTCGCCGTCGCTCCACTTCTCTTCATCTCCCCAAGCGTTTCTTACGCTCCACTCTTCTGCTGCGCCCCAGTCCTCTGCATCAGTCCATTTCTCCGCATCACTCCAGTCAGCCCGCCCTGCATCGGGCCACATCCGAGTCTCATCATCGGTCCACGCATCATCCATCCCTCCGCCTTCCCCCATGCGCATCAGATTAAGCACGTCCTCTCCCTGCAACCCACCATCACCCTCAAACAATGCTCCGCCTAACCCATTGCTGCTGCCACTGCCGCCGCTGCCGCCGCCGCTGCTGCTGCTGCTGCTGCTGCTGTTGCTACCACCGCTGCTGCGGCTGCCACCCACGCGGAACTCAAACACAACGGGCCCGTGCAGGTCCTCCCACTCCTCCAGTCCACGATCGCGCATGTCCTGGTCTGCATCGTTCCCCTCGGATACCGAATCTGGCTTTAACGACGCTCTGGATTCCGACCTTGCTCTCCTCTCACTGCCGCCGCTGCTGCTGCCGCCGCCGCTGCTGCTGCTGCTGCTGTCGCTGCTGCGGCCGCTGATGTTGCTGCGGCCGCTGATGTTGCTGCGGCCGCTGATGTTGCTGCTGCTCCCAGCACTGCTGCCGATTCCATCTGTGTCTGGCAGTGTCCTCTCCTCCCCGATAGGCCTCTTCCATTTGAAACCCCGCCTTCGCTGAAAATACTTCCTGTCCTTGCTAGTCGGAATCTGCGTCTTTTTCACCGGGTTCTCCTTCCCCTGGTCCCGTTCCGCCTTCTCCTTCCCATTCCCCTTCTCACGCTGCCTCTCCGCACTCTTTCTGCTGCGCTGCCTCTCCCCTTGATCGCCGGTCCGAAGCGACACATGTTTCTGCAAGAGGTTATCGGAACCCGCGTCTATCGGCTCATCCAGTCCCCGGGGTTCGCGCGGTTGCCTGTGCGATGCAGCGCGAACGGACGAAGAAATCACGACGACGGCGCTGCAGGGAGGTGGACATGGTGCGAGTGGGTGGTTAGAAGGCGAGGAGATGGAGATCCGTAATGCGGACGTGGATTTCAGAATGAGCAGCGAGGCGACCCAAGGTAGGAAAGAGGTGCTTGCCGCCATGACAAGTCTTTTAGGGCCTGAAAGAAATGTCGGTGAGGAATGCATGCAAGGTGAGTTGTGCGTCTTCGTTATGTGCTCAAGATTTGTTCAGAAGGTATAACCACTATCTAAATGGTATGTACGCATACATGCAACATTTGAAAAAAAAAAAAAAACCCAGCATTCTCCAAGGTAGATTTCCGTATTTTCCAGCCATGACGCTTAAATACACTCTTTTATTGTTATTGAGCACACCACACAACTAATTACTCTATGCAAAGTTGAACTCCACACACTGTAGATCTGAGCCCACGCAAGGAAAACGATGATAGGAATAGCGGGTTCCGTTTCGTTCGCATCTGCGATCTTGCACGATTGCGAAAAGGATGGCTTGCACCATCATCCTGCGATTGCCTTCCAAGTCAGGATCCAGTCGCAAGGGGCGCATGGCAGCTGTGAAGTTGAAATAAGGACAGCGCAACGGCAAACGTTCCTTGACGTCCGCGTCGCATAGGAACCGCCTAAAAAATGGCACACTCGTGCTTCAGAGCGGAGAAGCAAGACATCTTCCTCTCGCCACAGCAGCACAGCATGCCGTGATAGTGGGAGAAACCAAGGTGCGGTGCGGTCACTTCCAGAACGCAGAAATCAGCGCAACAGCCAGGATGAAAAAGCTACGCTTGGAAAACCACCTCAGTTCGTTTCACAAAGCGCCCCTGCAACCAAAGAAAAAGCTGCTGTCAGAACAAGAAATACTGCATCGGAGGTGCTAACAACATAATGAATCTTTCTTCCACATGGAGCAGAACTAACTTGGATAGCCATGCGTGAAGGACGAAAGCACCTTACCTTCACACGGGGCCGCTGGTCGGCATTGACCTTGCGCACTTCATATCGGATCTTCTTGGAGAAGAGGCGGTTCCTGCGCTTCTCCCGGTAACGCAGCACACGGGCCTCCCTGCCCTCGCTGGAGAAAGGCTCAAATGTGTCACTATCCATGGCAGGCTGCAGCATGAGGGTGTCTTCAACAGACCCAGGCAATGAAGGAGAGGATACGGCGAAGCCAGGGAGGTGGGCAGGCTGCAGCAGAGCAACAAAAATTGGAGAGGAATGGGGAAATGCTTGTGAGAAGCCCATATTGCAGGGCATTGTTTATGTTTTATGAATGGAAGGTGACTGAGTGGCTGATGTCTGCAAGGCACACAAAAGGCTGTGCATGCATACATTTAACCTTAGCCGGCCCCGAGCGTCCAGGCTTTATCTCTGTTTTTTTCCTCTCCTCTATACATTGATCCGCTAGACACAGTGACTCTGTAACCACTTGTACATTTCGTATCTTTGGTTCCTCATTGTGCCATTACGTGTGCATCCCACTCTCTTGTACTATTGGGGCACAAGGCCTTGTTCACTTCAGCACTCATATTGTACCACGCCAATGAGAGGCGGAGTGAATGCCGACGTTTCCAGATAGGGAGTTAGAAGAGACAAGAACGGGGAAAAGAGACGCACAAGGGAAGGAACATGTATCTCACCAGTGGGCGATTAAGGCCGTCGCGTTTCTCTGCACTGGCGCCCTCCTCCTCCTCCTGCTCAATCCACGGCGACTGGCCTTCAGGTGCCTGGTCCGACCACGCGCTAATCACGTCCTCATAGTTCAGACGCAAGCTCGGCGACTGCTGCTGCAGCTCCTTCCGGCTGCCCAGCTTCACCATCCCTCCCTCCGCGCCAGCTCTCACCCCGTCCGCGCCTTCCTTTGAAGGACCACCGCTGCTGCTTCCGAACACGTCGTCCGCGCGAGGCCGCTTCCCGAGATGCGTCTGAGGGGGAATTAGCGCGGCCGCGCTCTCGCTGGTTGCGCCACTGGCATCTCCCGTGGTGGGGGAGCCTTCAAGGGGCTCCACGTCGACCTCGCTCTCCGCCTCTGCAGACTCGTCCAGGCCCCACCCTCCAACAAACCACCCCTCCGTCTCACCCTCCTCCTCCCCATGACTGATAATAAACTCCTCGAATCCCTGCGTCTCCAGCTTAACCTCCCGCTCCCCCTCCGCTTCTCTTCCGCTCGCACTCTCCCCCACGCCGCTCGCGCGCAGCGCGTCTCCGTCGCAGCCGCTGCTGGAGCTCGCGCGGCTGAACGACGGCGCAACCGTCGCGTTGCCTCTGGTCTTCGGTTCACTCGCGCCGAGGCTGACAGTGTCTGTAGCCGTTAAACCCCGCGCAGGCTGCTGCGTCTGCTGCGCGAAGTGGTCATGGGGAATCTGAGGAGCGTCCGGGACTTCTCTTCCCGTGCGCCCGTCTACTACTGGCGTGCATTCGTCGGCTTCATCTACGAAGAACCGGTCCACGTCATCAAATGACAGGATATCCAAGAAAGCATCGTCCGCCGTCCCTTCCGCCGGCCTTCCGCCGACTCCCCCCTCCGCTTCCTGCTTCACTTTGCGCTCCCCGCTCCCAGCGACGGCCGTTGCCCCTATCGGCGGAAACTGTACGCCGCTGCGCTTTTGCTTCTTCGAAGGGCGCGGGCCCCGCATGCTTTCCCCCAAATTTGGGTGGTGCGGAACGGCTGCGTAGTCCCCCGGATGCCCCATATACTCGCTAGGAGCAGCTCCCATAAAAGGCATTCCCATATGCGGTCCGTACATGGGACCCCAGGGCCCAGGAGGGTAGACGACGCCAGGAAGCGGAGGCGGCGCAACCCAGGGGTGGGCGTAAGGGGCCATGTGCGGCGGAGGAATGTAGGGAGGGATCATGCCGGGGCCGTAAGGGGGCATAGGCCGTACCCCTTGCGCGGAGCAATCGTCTGGGCGCCAGTAGCAGTGCGGGGGAGGGGGGACAGCGGAGACACCCCGCGGAGACGCTCGAGAAGCATCAGAAGCTCCGCAAGGCGCAGCGGAAGCGGAGGCTCCTCTTGACGCTGCGTTAGACGCGGGCCCGCTTCGCTGACCGTTGCCGGTTCGTCCTCCCTGTGACGGCGGGACGATCGGCGTGCAGTGCGAAGGGAATGGTGGCTCCCAAGCGTGAACTTGAGGCTCCGGCTTTGCGATAGCACCAGTTTTTGCTCTGGCAGTCCCGGTGCTTTGCTGTTGTCGCTTTCTACCTTCGCCAGGTGCTACTGTTGCTCCTTGCACGAGCATTTCCTCCTTGATAGGTTGTCGGGGCCTCGAGGATTTTAGACCCGCAGCGTTGGTCACAGTGGATGACGCTGTTGCGTCGGTTGTCGGGGACTTTCGCATCGTCGCAACGATGCCTGATCCCCGAACCATCGCAGGCAACTCGGAGTTTCCGTTACCGTTACCATTACCCCCGGCGCGACGGAAAATCTTCACTGGAGCTCCGTTAAGGCCCAGCCTGACACGCTCGTGCCGTTGAGAGAGAGGATTGGCTCCATGGACGAAACCGTCGCACACATCGCAGATGTACGCGTCATCAGCTGCGCAGTAGAGTGTCGCAGGTTCGGTTACGCACGAATCGCACATTCGCTTTGGACGAGGAAATGCCGGAGCGGAGATAGAGACAGAGTCCAGGAAGGTCTGGGACGAAGCCATTTTCTCTGCCTGCTTCTGTTGTGGTTGTTGTTGCGTCTTCGTCTTGTGATTTACAATCTCTGCCTCGGATGGTGATAATGTAAGCGATAGCTTAGACTGCTCAGGCTTCTGAGAAACAGACTTCCCTTTCAGGAATTTCCCCGAGGGAACAGATGTAGGAATTCTTGCTGCTTGAGTCATGGCTCCGTGAAAACAATAAGGGATTTTTTTTATCCCTTGAATGTCACAGATGCCCAACTGGTAGTTGATGTCTTCAATGTGCTATGCCAGACATGGATAAGAGGAGAAACGTGACTCTGCTTCCTCAGGTAATGCTGCTGCTGACTGGAGATTCTGCATCAACAAATTGGGAGAGAGCAGCTTGAAGCAGAGTCTGGTCCAGCACGGCAAACAGAATGGAGGGAATCCCTCGTGGATAAAGCGTTCCCTGACGAATGGGCGGAACTCAAGACTCGCTTGGGTCCTTCGGGAAAGCTCTCTGTGGTGGTTGGTCTGCTGGACTCTGGTGCCACCACACCTCCTCGTCTGTCCTTGTTCGGCTGGGAATATCCTTCGAAAGGATCAGGCCACCGAGAAGGTGGTGGGAATGATTGGTGCAATTGGTTCTGCCCAGAGCTCCAACCGATGGACAAAGTGGCTTCGGGGCTTTCCTATCGCAACACACATGCGACCTGCAGCCATTTGATCCACCACACCACTTCGCTTTATGATCCCACGGGCAGATCCTGGAGGTCAGATGCTCACATCGTCGGTTCGGGAGTTGCGCGCACACAAGCCTCTTCTACTGTACCCAATCAGTGATTCTGCCGAGCCTCTCTGGTTTCGGCTCGGTGATCTAATCTTTCTGGCTGGCGATATTGATGCGCCCCGCCTCACAATTGGTTGGCCAGGACGAATGTGAAGAGCGCTTTGGAGATGAGCGACCCGTGGCTGGATGGTTGTGCGCGAGACCTCAGTACACGATGCGAAACGCGAACCAATGTAATCCACCCACACTGCGTCAGCAAGCTCAAAATCCCTAGATTCTCAAGTGGCTGTGCGTGCTTGTCGCCAACTGCTTCAATTCTTCACCGTTCGTTTCGTCCATCAACCAAAAGGACGGACTTCCTCAGAGCCCAAGAAGAGGCGAGGCAGGGCAAGCGCTCAGAAAACTTGAGTAATTTCTGGTCAGTGTGAGATTCTCTCAGTGAATGCTGGAATGGTCCGCTCTCAAGTTCCAACAACAGACGTTCAGAGTGTTCGGCCCGTAATTACCCAATGAAGTGTGACGTAGTGTACCTTGGTGAATACGTACGTCACTCAGAAACAACAGAGCATCAACACCGGCAACACAACACAAGCTTTGGGTGGGGTATCTGCCCAAATTCACACACTTGGAGCACCCTAAGGGTGCGTTCCTGGCTGGTGTCAAGCTTCCGGTCATCCGCGGATGACCGGAAGTTGGACCCACTTTGGGCCATCCGAGACCAACTTCGGGTCTTCCGGCCAAAAATTGCCCCTGTTTCCGGAAGACATGAAGTTTGATAGGAAGTTTGACCCAAAGCTTCGGGCCTTCCCGGGAAGGCCCGAAGCTTGACACGGGCCAGGAACGCACCCTAATTCTATCGCCCATTTTGAACGTTTTGTATGAGCTCCGAAGTGATCCGTTAGCATGTGGCTTCAGCAAATCAGACAACACTCAGGAAAAACTAAACGTCTAAACTAGAACAAACCCAACTTGTGATAATCGATTCCATATAACATCACTTTTATTTGGACCTCTTGTACCCGTTGCCCACTATCAGGCATCCTACATCTCTAGATTTTTGCATTGTGTCGATAGGTCTTCGTCTCGGCGTAACCTGTGAGACAAAAACCTTCAAAACCTTTTATTTGAAATACGTGTTTAACCACGTGTACCTTGTTAACTCCTCTCCCTACCCTACTGTGAGATTCCCAGCCACTGACCACTGGGATTAAAGGGCTTGTTTGTGTAGCGGGTGAGTGCGCCCATAACCCCCCAGACCGACGTGCATGTAGCCCTTCCCTATGATCAATCCGGGATCTCCAGTGGACCTCTGACACCCCCCCGCACTGGGATACCCGATGTGCACGCACCGGGTTTCGAACCCGAGACCTTCGCTCTGATACCATGTCAGAATCCCAGCCACTAACCACTTGGATAAAAAGGTTTGTTTGTGTAGCGGGTGAGTGCGCCCATAACCCCCCAGGCCGACATGCCTGTAACCCTTCCCTAGGATCAATCAGGGATCTCCAGTGGACCTCTGACACCTACCTCATGTATCCACACTGTAAAATTTGCACAAAACACATAACACCCACCATCGCAAATTATTTTTCGTTCCAACCCTCTATTATGGTGAATTATGACTCATAAACATATTTGAAAATGTACAATCATCTGTTTATGCCTCTAAGATTTCGCGAACTGCTTTCCATATGTTTCTATTATCGTTCCTCTCTCTCTCTCTCTCTCTCTCTCTCTCCCCTCTCTCTCATACACACCCACATACACACACACACATATACACACATACATACACATACACACACGCACACGCACACACACACACACACACCAACGCGAATATAAATGCGCATGCACTCGCATCCAGTTGTTTCTCTTGCTCCCCTGTTGCGTCTCTTTCACTCCTTACTCCACCTTAATGCACTTTACCATCAACCCCCTGATATACGTTGTTACAATCCTAAGTAGGACTTAGCCATGGATCGGCTCAGGGTTGGTGCAGATTTATCTCACGAGGGTGAGGACTGCGTCTGATCTATCAACAGAACTAGGCAAGAATGAGTGCATTGAATGGAAGAGTTGGGTACAAGTAGCAAACCCTAGTTGGGGTTGTACCCCATATTGGCTACCCCACTACAGCCTACCAACATAACACAGTTTAACACACCCCCATAGGCAAAGTGGGGGAGAGCAAAGGGTCACAAGACCAGTCCAGCAAAGCAAAGCAAGCCCAGGGTGGATCACAACGTCACCACACTCCGAGCACAAGCAAAGGCCACAAGGCCAGTTCACATGCAGTGCTAGATATAGTACAAGACAAGCAACACAGTGTTCAAGACCTAGCAAGCAAGCAACAAGATATATATAAAGGACAGTACAAAGAAAGTCAAGCAGTAAGCAAATGAGGAATGTGGACACAAGGCCTAAGGAAGTACAGTGCCGCTGATGATCACTAGGCGGGAGCGCCTTGGTGAAGATATCAGCAGTGTTGGCCTTCGAGTCCACGTACACAAGCCGAAGCTGACCTCGCTGCTGCAGCTCTCGAGCAAGAAAGTAGCGAAGAGCAATGTGCTTCGTCCTGTGCTCCAGTCTGTGCTCCTGACACAAGGCAAGGGCCGCCTTGTTGTCGCCGTACAGAACTGGAGGAGAACTAGGCCGCTCTCCCAAGTCAGTCAGCAGGTAGGTGAGCCAGCGTAACTCCTGTGCAGCCATGGCCGTGGCGTAGATCTCAGCCTCACAACTGGAGCCGAGAACAGAAGAAGAGCGGGTGGACCGCCACGAGACAGAACCAGAGCCAAGGCTGAAGGTGTAACCCTGTGACGACCGCTGTGTAGCCAGGTCGTCCACCCAAGAAGCGTCCGAGTGACCAGTGAGGACAACTCTGTCGCGTCCTCCAAGCACCAGCCCCATGCCTGATGTACTGCACAAGTAACGCAGCACCCTCTTAGCAGCCTCCCAGTGCTCTCGCCTGTGTCTCCCAGGCGCAACGTAACGAGCAAGGATGCTAAGAGGGTACGCGAGGTCAGGTCGCGTGCAAGTCATCAGGTACATGAGGCAGCCTACAAGCTCTGGGTACGGGCCACTCGGCTCTACGGACTCGTCCGAAGGTGGAGCTGAGAGCGAGTGGCTGGTAGCCAGAGGTGTGGCCTGTGGTGAGGAGAACTGGAAGCCGAAGCGCTGAAGGACCTGCTGCACCATGTGTGACTGAGTCAGGGTAATGGTGCGGCGTGCTCTGTCCCGGGTGATCTGCAAGCCAAGGTAGCTACGCAGCTCACCCAGGTCAGTGCAGGTGTGTCTCTTCTGCAGCTCTGACTTCACACGAGCGAGTGCCTCAGTGTCAGCAGTAGCAAAGACCAAGTCGTCGACGTACACGAGAATGTAGAACGGCGGCAGCGACGTGTCTGTGCGCAGAAACAGCGACGGGTCAGCAGTAGACGGCGCGAACCCAAGGGCCGCAAGTGTAGTCCTCAGTGTGTCGTGCCACTCACGTGGCGCCTGGCGGAGACCGTAGACTGGCCGGCGGAGGCTCCACTGGGTACCAGGAGGAAACGACCCAGAAAAGCCAGGTGGGCGGCGCAGCCAGATCTCCTCGTGCAGGCTGCCCTGCAGGAACGCTGTGCTGAAGTCAAGAGAGTGAAGCTCGTAGTCACGGTGAGCAGCAACGTGCAGCAGAACCCGAAGAGTGGTCATCTTCGGGGTGGGGGAGAAGGTCTGGAAGAAGTCAACCCCCTGACGCTGACTGAAGCCTCTAGCAACATAACGAGCCTTGAAGACAGGTGGAGAACCTGGCGGCCGCTTCACCCTGAAAATCCACATGCCATCGACGATGTTCGCCCCAGGAGGGGGAACCTCGTCGACGTAGGTGCCTGTGGACTTCCAGGATGCCATCTCTGCGTCCATGGCTGTCTGCTACTGAGAGGAGTAGGGACCCGAGATCGCCTCTGCGTAAGTGCGCGGAGTGGGGATGTCTAGTGCATCCGGGTCTCCCTCAGGGGCAAGCAACCAGGCCACGAGATGAGGTACAGCAGCCGCAAGAGAGTCAAAGTCCTCCTGCCTGTCCTCAAGGATGTCCGTGCCAAGAGCACACTCACCCCCGACGGACGGAGGACAGACAGACTCAGACCCAGCAACAAGACTGGCGGCGTAGTCTAGGCGACAGGCAGCAGCAAAGTCGACAAGCTCAGCGACCAGGGCAGACGCAGCAGAGGACTCAAACGACGGGTCAGTGACAATAGTGGCGAGAAGATGCGTAACAGTAGGGTGGGCAGCACGAACACTGTCAGACTCAGGGTCGGGAACGTCAGGAAGAGAAGACGCAGGAGGAGACGGTAGGGGGACACGCTGTGGACCAGTGGAAGGACGAAGTGCCATAATGTGCGTGCCAGGAACAGGAGGAGGACGCGGACGCGCGACACGACGGCCAGTGGGACCA